AGTTCTTGTGCTGTAGGCTGGGGAGCCGAGCTTGGGGTTTAGACCCTGCACTTCTCAGGGAGACCCCCCCCTGCTGCTGAAATATCCCTCCAGGACTTAAGCTGCCACCTGTGGCAGCCCAGCCAGCCATCTCATGCCTTCTCTGCACTCCCTGCCAGTCTTGTTGCGGTTATAAGGCTTCTTTCCAGCTAGAGTTCAGTTGGTTATTCGGGATAGTTTCTCTACAATTTAGTTGTAATTCCAGTTTGGTCCTGGGAGGAGGTTAGTGTAACTTTCACCTACTCCGCTGCCTTCTTGGGTTTCTCCGCAGACTAGATTCTAAAGTGAGACCTATACTGTGTAACTGCTCAGGTAATGAGATCATAGGCATCCACCCTGTGAAAACAGAAGAGAGAACACACAGGTTAATTCACGCAGCAAATCACAAACCCATCTCTGAGTCCGCAAGACTGTCTTTTGAGAAGACATCCAGTTATAAGGCCTTTGCTAGAATGACATTAAATAGTGACAATCTGACAAACACTTCTCACATACAAATTGAACATCTCTGGTGATGTTGAACTTCCAAGTGCAAACAAAACTTTGAAGACAGTTAAGCGTGTTAGAGTCCAATGTCCACCACTGAGCATTGTGATTTTCCTTGAAACATGATTTTTCTCCTTAGGATCACCCTCATTGTCCTCAAAAGGGACTACATTAAGTCTGGTTTTAATTTTTTGCCCATTCATTTGCATAAACACAACAAGAGCAACAGCTGATCACACAGGATCTTTAATCTGCTTTGTTGGAGCTCACACAAGGAACCTTCAGATTGACCCTTAGTCCGCCCTTCAGGGCCCAGGAGCCAAGCCACACACCTGGCATCAGGCTTTGCCTGTACTGCCTGTGTTCTTCAAGTCCTCAGGGTCCCCACTGTGTCTTAAGCTTCCTCCTTGCCATCTTTCAGGAAAGCAAACTTCACTCCCTCCCTGGGAGGACTGCCATGAACCACACAACCAAACAAGGTACCAGGCCATCTTTCTGGTAGCTTTTTGTTAGCTTCGAAAGTCAATCTCAGTTCCTTAAGGTTTTCTGGTAACAACCAGAGCCCAGGCATGCCTGCCTCCTTCAGGCATGGCATTCCAGTCAAAATCTTGGTTAACAAAATCGCCAATGGAAACTGGTCTTATTGATTTTATGCAAAGAAACTTTATGTTGTCACTCACTCATTGAGAATGCCAAATTCTGGAGGAATCAAGTAGGGAGAAAAATGCAAACTGTGAAGGAAAATCCTTGCCCTCCTCATATCTACCAAAATGACATCTCCATACCTTATATCTTTTATTACTTACTTTCCCACTTAGTGTGAAGTTTTAACTCTGAAAAACCTCAATTTTATTCCAGAACAGAAAAAAAAACAAAATCTGGAGCAAAGACAGAGTTTCAAAATAAGAAGCAGGACTAGAACTGACCTTAGAGTCTTGTCTCATACTGAACGGTCCTACCAACCAGAACACAGACCTTTCCTGGGTGCAAATGGCATGAAACTGCAATGATAGGGATATTCCCTCACCCACCAGTGTGCCCATTGGTCTCCTGGTAGAGACATGGCCTCCCACCAACCAGTCTTTGGCAGAGGCTTGCTCTGTCACCCCAGCCGGACTCTACTGGCACCAAATGACCTTTCCCAGTTGCCAGTGGCAGAGGTGTTCTCTCACCCACAAGTTCCATGGGAGAGACAGAGCATTCCCAGTGTACACAAAACAGCAAAGTTCAAACCATGTCCCCATAAGATCAGAAGGCAAGCAAATAAACCAAGCAAGCAAAAAAAAAAAAATATATATATATATATATTTATATACTGCACCCAAGAGCTGAGGTTTACTGCCTTTCAGGTTTAAAGCTTTCACAACCTCCTGTAGCCTTTACAACTTTCTGCACACCTTCTGCAACTTTCACAAACCTCCTATGTACTTTTACTCATTCAGAAATAACTATAACTCACTTTTAATCCTTGTTCTTTTTGGCAATGGGAAAGACCATGTTCAAACTCAGTATCTCTTTAACATACTGCATGTCTAAGAGATCACGTAATTTCAAAAATTTTACCTTAAGTTAGAAGGAATGTATCAATTTTGAAATAATATTTGGCACCCTTTTATTTGCAGTAATACAACCTTTTAATATCCACTTTGAATCTGGATACATAAGTTTTCATGGAGGGGGATACCTTTATGATCCTGAGGACAAGATGGCCTACATTTTAGATTTGGAAGCACAAGAGCCTAATTATAATCTTTATTATTACAATCTTTATTTTTGTCAAGTGGGACTTGCCTATTAAATAAACCAATGTCACCCTGCCATATGTATATTTTTTGAATGGCCTATGACTGCTATCTCTCCTTTTCCTTTAGTGACTTTAAATAACATGACTTCCTTAGAGCAAGCACCCAAATAAGTGCTTGCTAATCCTTACAAAGAACCAAAATCAGGAGGAGACCCTGCTGGTCCCCCTCTAGACAGATTCTTCTTGGGAGAAGTAGGCCACACAGCGGTAGCCTTTGTATTATGTCTCAGTACTTCTTTTATTCCCAACCTTGCCCTTGAATCGCCCTTTCCTTGTTGGTGGCGATGAGGCGCTGGGTGAAATTCATTGTGCGTCCCCCCGCCCCACCCTGCCCCCCATCCCGGAGTCTCTTCTAAGTGCTTTCAGGTGTCACCTTGTAGTACCCTCAGAACAACTCTGGTAGGTCAGTGCTATGGTCTGCATGTCTGTCCCTCTGCCTGCCCAAATTCCTATGTTGAAATCTAACCCCCAATGTGATGGTATTAGGAGGCAAGATCTTTGGGAGCTGATTATGGGAGCTGAGAGCTCCCTCCCCCTTCCATCACCTGCGGACGCAAGGAGAAGATGGCCGGCTGTGAACCGCGAACCTGGCCCTCCTTACAAGACACCAAGTGTCCCAGCACCTTGATCTTGGACTTCCCAGACTCCAGAACCGTGAGAAATTTGTTTCTGTTGTTTATAAGCCACCAGGTTGATGGTATTTTGTAATGGAAGCCTGGACAGACTAAAACAGTCTTATTATTCTTGTTACAGCCGACAAAGCTGAGGCCCAGAGATATTAAGATCACGCAACAAGTGAAGGCCTGAGCTTTGACTCTGAGTCAGCCGTCTGTCTTCAGGACACACATTCTCTTTGGTCTTTTTTTTTTTTTTCTTTTTTAAAATTGAGGTATTATTGACCTCAACTTCAGGTGTAAGATGTAATGATCTGATATTTCTCTCTGTTATGAAATGATCCCAGTAGGTCTAGTTAACATCCATTTCCTTACAGTCACATACTTTTTTCTTTCTTGAGATGAGAACTTTTAAGATCGACTCTTAGGAACTTTCAAATAGGTAACACAGCCTTGGTAACTATAATTACATGCTGTGCATGACGTCCCTATGATACGTTTGTCTTATAATTAGAGATTTGTAATTTTGACCCTCTTCACAAATTGCTCCCACGCCCCAGCCCCAACCTCTGGCAACCTCCAATTTTCTCTGCATCTATGAGCTTGGTTTCGGGGGGCCATTTTTTTTTTTTAAGATTGCTCATATAAGTGAAATCATATGGTATGTCTTTCTCTGAGTTATTCACTTAGCATAATGCCCTCAAGTTTCATTCATGTTCTTACAAACGGTAAGATTCTTTTTAATGGACGAATAATATTGCATTATGTGTATATATATCACATTCTCTTTATCCACTAACCTGTCAGGGGACACTCAGGTTGTCTCCATGTCTTGGCAATTGTGAATAGTGCTGCAAGGAACATGGTGGGGGGCAGGTACCTTTTTCAGGACGAGCATTCCTGATGGCCGCGTGCAGCTGCAAGCCTGTGAAGGCATGAATGAGCCACAGTACAAGTCCCATAGTCACCACAGAAGTGAGGCTTGAAATGTGCATCCTTTCACGTTAGCCAGGGAAGAATAACTATGGCAGGGGACAAACTATATCGGTGACAGTACAGAAACTGGTAACTACATACTCAAAAATGCTTACGAGAACTTGCCCACCGTGGATGACAAGGCTGTCGCCATTCGAGTACTTAAGCGTTTCATTGATGAACTGACCCGTTTCAGGTAGGGCTGCGCTTTCTGCCTGTCTGCACGCCCATGATGATGCAGGAACGTGAACATCCAATGAATGGATTCGAGTTAGGTAATTACTAGCAATACTCCCATGTTAACATGCAATCCCAGTTCAACCCCCTACCGTGTTTGCTAATACCTAGCCCAATGTACAGTTCATTCTGACTGAGTGGCGCTGTTTCCATAGACAAAAGACTTAGTTTCAAACACTGGATCCAGACTATCCAAAATGAATTCTGAATTAGAAATGAAACCTCCGTCAGAGCAGTGCGGTATTGATCCCTGAATGTGGTCCTGTATAACCTAGACACAAAGCAGCTGTGAAAGCTGGTAGGCTGTAGTCTTTTCCGGGAGTGATGGGCGTGGAAGTTCATGATCCTGTCATCGGGTTTGCTTGCCGGTTTACCTCAGAGGCTGATTTCTCAAGAAATACGAAAGCCCTGTAAGAGGGCTGCCTGCCTGTGGCTCACTCTTCAGTTTCCAGTTACAATAGTTTCTCATAATGCCTTATCCTGTCCTTACCAAAAAATGCCAACAGTGATAATTTCCCTTAGTACAGGCATGCCTCATCCTATTGTGACTTGCTTTATTGCACTCCCGTAGCGGTTGCGTTTTCCTTTTTACAAATTGAAGGCAAGACCCTCTCCTCCAGTAGTAAGATCACGACTTGCTTTATTGCGATCCTCGTTTATTGCGGTGGTCTGGAACTGGCCCGCTGTGTCTCTGGTGTGCCTGTCAAATGTGACCAGCAGGTGGGAAGATGGCTGCCCCCAGCCGGGAGACTGTGGCTCTGCTTCCGTAGGGGTTATGGTTGTGTGAAGAAATGACTGTTTGGTGTGAAGGTACTCTTAAGATTTTCAAAACCCATTAACTACCAGCTTTATTTTATTTTAAAATATACAAATATCTTGAACTGTAGGAGGGCTGAAGATTATTGGATTTCAAACAAACTCCACACAAAGCTATCACAACAAAGAAATCCACACCAAATTGATCACCCCAGACTGTGAATTCCATCTACTGATTTAACAATTCCAGTATTTAGGAGAAATGAAAGGAGTTAATATTATCAACTCAAAAAAAGAAAAACCCCAAAAGTTACTTATCACATGCTGTGCTAAGAGAAACAACCCGTTTGTGGATTACCAGTATCGCGAATTTCAAAGGGAAACTTAGGGCTCCCTTAGAAAATATCTGAACTGAGACAGGGAGTTGATGCAAATACTGTCCTTTGGGAAAAATACTCTCTGCGAGTTCGAACATTCAGCAAAATACAGTCATGTCTTAGAGCCAGACCATCAGGCTTTGGAGTAGGCCAAGTGCAGACAGGAGTGGGCCTCAAAAGTAGGCCACCTTGTCAAACACCAGGGACAATGAGACCTGCTTGTTGGGAGCAGTTACGTATCAGAACAATGGGAATTAAAATGCAAGTTAAAACACATATTCTAATGCACAGGCACCACTAACTCACAGGGCAGTCGACACTTGTCTCTAACAAGGTTGTATGTGAGACACTCCTGTAAGAACTTGGAGATCCAAGACACAGCTTAGTTTTGCTGAGTGTATTTCAGCGTAAACCTTGGCGTTTCTGTCAGGGGTTACTACTCTACCACGGGGACTTTAGAAATGCTGGGAACTCTTTAAAAAGCCTAAGTGAACAGCTCTAATTAAAATATTGGACCAGATAAAAGCTCCTGAGCATCACATGAGTTTTTAGGGCTACATCTCAAATATTCAAGAGAAAACAGTAAGCAAAAAAGCAGCTCTCTTCATATTTTAGGGAAAAGTGCTTTTTCAGAGGTTGTTCCGACTTTCCTAGATCAAATACACGGACCATCCTGCCATTAAAGGGAAAATGAAGGAACTGCTTCCCACTTAAGCTAAGCGGGAAGGAAACCTAACATGATCTGTAATAAACTGCAGCGTGAAGACACAACTCAAAAAAGCACGTGCACGCTGTCCTTCGCTCGGTCAAGTGTAAGGTCATCGCCCACTTGACCTTCCCAGTACATCATAAGTGCAATTCAGCTTGGGGAAAATAGTTTAATGTATCCTTTAGGAAAAAAATAGTTTATATTTTCCCATCTCTAACAAAGCAGTGGTTATGAGGTCCAGCGCCACCAGGCGACCTTCATTCTGTCCCACACCGCTGAAAGCGAATCGAACGCGGGCCGGACGTCCAGGATGGTGAACTGGTATTCCTGGTTGACCTCGCCACCGTCATAGTAGTCAATGACGTATCTGACTTCCGTCCCACAACGGTTGATGATCCAGTCGTGCCTGTCGAAAGGCAACTCGTACCTGGAATGAAGACACGCTGGTGAGTGTTGCCGCTCGCGGTGCCTCTGGCTCTGGAAAAGCTGCGAGGAAAGCGGAGAAGCAGCGCAGGGCCAGGCCTACTCTCAGAGTCAACATCTACCTGGGAGGGGGCCTCCAAATCACGGCCCACCGCGCTGAAGGAAGGCGGAGCCGAAGATCTGTGATGAGCCCAGGCCACACGACAGCTGGGCCGTGCACCAAGGCCCAAGGCCCATGGGGAAGAGCGGGGCTCTGGCTGTGCTGGGAGAAGGGGGAGGAGGCCCGGGTGCAGAGTCCCCAGGAGGAGTAAGAGGGCAGCTCAGTTCGATCCTGGGATAATCAGATGGGAAGCAACCCAGGACACCCAAATGAATCTGCCTCCAGGCCGACTTCCGGGAGAGGAAAAACACCTAGAGCTGCGCACTCAGTCTTGGAAGATGGCCCTGCGGTTCTCAGACTGCCTGGCTTTGGAGCCCAGGGAGAGACCCTGACATAGGAGTGTCAGTCACCTTTCCGCACCGCACTCACCCCATCCAGGAGCGGATCCTCGCCCGCGGTGAGTACTCTTTGGCTTTCCCTCCGAACCGGACCAACGAGGGACCGCAAGGACATTCCCTAGAAAGCCCCGGAGAAGAAAGGGTAGGTATAAAAAGGTGTTCTTTCCTTTGAAAAATAAGATATTGCAGTTTATCGATAATATGCATTTTTCTGTATGCATTTTACATGTCATATATACAAAGAAAGGTACCTTTGCCAAAGTCAAAGAAATATCACAATTTGTGAAAAACGCTGCTCCTCATTCCTTGCCGAGGTACGCCCCCCTCCCTCCGCTTCCTTCCAAGCACCTGCACTGCTCTTTGCAGGGGTCAGAGAGCAGGGCCCTTCCCTTTGGCAGGGGACACAGGCCTATTCCCGGGGAGAAAGAAGAGTGAGGCACTGGGCGTAGGCTTCTCTTTCACATAAAGCAGCTGGGGTCTGGTTTTGTTTTCAGACGAACCTAAGAAAATCCTATACTCGTCTTGGAGAGAATGCAGTGAATGGCCTGCATGAGGAAAGACTACATGGGGTGAGTCCCAGGACGAACGTAACTGGCGTCAGTGTAGCCCTTAAGGGAGCAGCCGCACACGTGCGGACGGGTGGCCAGGCCCTGGCTACGAAAGCCGCTCGCCCTCAGCGGGGCCTTGGCGAGGACGTGCCGGGTGCCAGCTGGCCCACTGCCAGGCGCGGGGCGGGGCGGGGGCCCGCTCTACACGAGCTCCCCCCCCCCCCAGCACTGGCACAGCTCTCGGTCACCTTCTCCCCAGACAAAGGCCCGTGGGCCACGTGTCTCCTGATCTCGAGGCCTGCCATGGACTCGGTCGGTATTGCTGAGTGAGCATCTCCCCAGGGGCTGAGGACAGCTTAGCGTCCCGCCCCACAGGCTCCGCTTTCCACGGACTCTGACCCTCCTCCTGTTTTGAGGTGGGGGGGTCTCTGCCCCCGGCCTTGAGTTCGGGAAGGCTGGTGACGCTCTGGGGCCTCCGACACTAGCTCGTCAGGAGATGCAGCCTCCACAGGAGCTTTGTGGAACCCTGGCTCCGGGAACGCACGCACCACGGTGTGAGGGAGCCAAGGCAGCCATAGTCAGGGGCTATGGGCGGGGGTCATGGCCAGCGGCCGGTGTCACTCTTCAGACAAGCAAACAGGGCCACCAGAGGGTCCCAGCCCATGACTGTCAAGCCAACCCTGACCGCTGAGTCTTGGCGGGTGAGATTTCAGACACTGGGGAGCAAAGATGAGTCATCCCTACTCCCTTTCTGCACTTGGGACCCCCTGAGTCCACGAGCATAAGGACACAGTTGCCGTCTTCCACGGCTGCGTGGCAGGGGTCTGCCACCCAAAATGTTTTATAAGAACGACACATCTGAATAAATGTTAAAACTCCAGAGGGTGGATATAAAATAAGAAAGAGGCTGCACGGACTTTTTTAAAGTTCTCCAACATACTTACGCAGCATGAAGGGCTTCCCACTTCAGAATCTCCTTCCAAGCCTGCTCGTTGTTCTGATTGTGGATCTTGATGATATTATACATGTCTTTCTGACTGATGTCGTCATCCTTCCACCTCCACCTAGGAAAGAACGGCCGGTAGGATCTGACAAACCTCCTGGTATCTCTGTGGACACACATGCCCTGTTAGTCCTGTTTCTCCACAGAACCCTGGCTAGCGAGGACAGTGGCCTTGTCCTTATCCTCCAGTAAGTCTGAGATTATTCTAAACAACTTAACTTTTTAAATAAAAACTTCCTGTATGTTTCGGGGATAAAAATCTCTTTTGCCTTTGTTCTTAGATGAATGTGACAAGCAAATTGATGTTCTCAGTAAGACGCTCCTTCACTTACCCCTTCTTTAACATCGCATTCCAGAACATCTGCTCAGAAGGATAAACCCACTTTTTCTCCGAGTCTGCTCTCGGAATGGACGACTCCTCTCTCACAGTAGAGAGTGGGAACGGCTGGTCAGGGGCCGGTGTCTGGTTGGGTGGTGGCATCTACATAAAATAAGCGGAATGTTTTTTTAAAATATTGTAAATATGATATAAAGTAGAAACAAGCAGTGTAATTAACTACTGCCTGGAGAGCAACACATCACACACGTGACACAGGTTGTCCTCTAAGCCACAGCCATCAAAGTTGCAGACTGCTCAGATCATTTGGCTGTTTTGAAGAGGCAAGAGCACGGAAGTTGTTTTCCCTTGTTGTTCAAGTTCTCGTACTGACCGTGACACGGCAAATACACCTTGTGGTTATATTTTTGGTCTCTTTCTCCTCAAGGATTAAGAAGTAAAAACAAACACATAACCTGATCTGCAGGTACCTCTAAAAACCTTTCCTCAGTGGGCTTTACAAAAGTGATGGCTCATTCTTCTGAGGAAAGGTGTGATCAAATGCATGTATGCCACCACTTCTATTACAAAATTCTTCACTCTTAGGATCTGGCTTCTGCTTTCGGCTGAATACACTACGGGCAAGAGGTGCCGCCCCAGCCAGCAGACTGGAAGGAGGAGCGCAATGCTCTCTCCCAGACACAGGCGTGGCGCTGCCATGACGCAGACACTTAGCCCGGGCCAGGGTTTCTCCCTGTCGGCACTACTGCCATTTAAGGTGGAGACATCTGGTTACTAGGCTCTGTTCCGAGCACTTAGCAGCATACCTGACCTCTGCTCAGTAGTCCCCTCTCCCCGGCTTAGGACGACCAATGTCCCCCAGGCGCAAGAGGACCGCTGGCCTAGAACTCCCTTTTGTAGGGAAAGTATGAAGGGTTTTCTAGCAGGTGTACATAGACTATGATGTCACAACACGGCCCCTGGCTAAACAGATGGCAGAGGAGCTGGGTGAGCTGGCCCCGCACCGCGCACTGTACTGCATTTTCACCGCAGCGCGTCTGAGACCACAGGTCGGAGGCAGGCGGGGTTCAGCTTGGGCTCGGCCACTTCCTAGGTGAGTGACGTGGGGCGGACTGCTTCCGGTCTCGCTCTCGGGGTCATCGGCTCTCAAAGGGGGACATGAAGACACCCGACTGCACAGAGTCGTTACAAGGATTCAAGGACAGAGCCTATGATGCTCAGCACGGTCCAGAAGATGTGAGCAAAAGAACCGTTCGCTGTAACTAACATTCTCACTCCACGTCAGAACCGCACGGGGTACGAGTCCCGGTCTGCAGGGTCCCGAAGGCTCGTGCTCTGCGCCACGAGGGTGTCTGAGATGGCCCAGGCCGCTGGGCTAACGGGGGTGCCTTTGGAATGTCCGGAGGCACTTGTGGTTGTCACGACTGGGGAAAGAGGGTGCCAACGGCATCTGGAGGGCGGCGACAGGGATGCTGCTACATGGCCCACAGTACGCGGGCAGCACCCACCCCCGGAACTCAGCGAGCCGCAGGCGCCCCTAGAGGCGACGGGGAGGAACCCGGGTCCACTCCACCCTCCTCCTCGGCACAGCGGTCTCCTTGCGGCGCGGCCGTGACTGAGAGCCACGGCCTAGCTGTCCGTGCCTCAGCCCCCAAGACTCACTGAATCTGCCAGCACCTTGATGTTGGATTCCCCAGCCTCCAGAACTGTGAGAAATAAATGTCTGTTGTTTATAAGCCACCAGTCCATGGCATTGTCATATATGTTACGTTACCTTATGTATTGTTTTATGTGCATCTTCTATACCCTTTCTTTTCCAGACTAAATAGTTCTAGTTCCCTCAAATGCTGTCTGGTTTGCCAAGATTTCTAAACACTGTGTGAGGATCCTGGGGCCTTCTTAAGGACAGGCCCACGTCTGTCTTTTTTTCTCCATTAAAATGTGATTCCAAGCATGAAACCTCAATTCCCCGTGTGGTCTATCACAAAACGACATGAGGCCGCACTCGCCTGTCCTTGCTTTCTCCATGGCAGACCGCTGCCGGCTGCCACGTGCTGCCGCCCCCCCCCCCCCGCCCACCCCGGGGACTCATGTGCAGGCTGTACCCGAAGAGGCCCCACAGTCCTGCACCGACAAGGTCCCCCGAGACCAGGAGCGCCTTCACTAACTCTAGCTCAGCTCCTGATGGAACGCCCCTCCTGTCCCAAGGGGAGATATTCTCTCAGCGTGGCTACTTCAGCCCACCCACTCTGGTACTTCATGATCGCCATTTTCTTCCTCTTCGTAAGACATTCTAGATTTTCACTGTGGATGGGCGATCAGATTTCTTTGTTTTAAAAGGACAAAAGAATAAACCCTAGCAGTGTGCCGTTTTTCTTGGAGTTGTATAAAAGCATCTCTGCAAAGAAAGTTCCAGGAAGAGAAGCCGAGTGTGGATTACCAGATTAGAAGGATCTAGGTTCTCCTTATTCACAACCATGGCGCCCGTAACAGGACACTCCACATACTCATATGCGCGTTCTTGGTGGGCAGGCACTGAGTAGGTCTGGCTCTTACTGGCTGGGTCAGATGGCTGTGCACTCACTGGACAACCTGAAATAAATCAAGTAGAAAAACGGTGTCAGCACAAAGGCAGGACATCTGGCTCCCTTAATTTGGACCCTAAAGAGCTGAATTTCTGACCAGCAATGACCATAGACAAAGCCACATGTCTACTGCTGAAAGCTGCCAAAAGCTAAGCTAGAATATTCTAATATCTTAAAGACCGGGAGAAGGTTCTAGAAATTTACTTTCCCTTTGAGAGAGAAACGAGTGTCCCTCCTTTTATTTGTGTCAGGCCCCTAGCAAAAAGAAACAAAAACACAAACCCCCCTCCCCCCAAAACCAAACTCAAGCTTTGTAAGGGAAAGCCAAGGTTTCAGTAATGGGCTAGAAGGTCCCTAACCTGGGCCTGCAGCTGTGAGCTGCTACAGAGGAACCTAAGCTGGGGCGGGGCCACATTTCACCCCGCCTCTCCCTGACTCTCTAGTCCCAAATTCCAGACAAGGTCCAGCCCCAGTCAGGACACAGGAGACGAAAATGAACAGAGGAGCCCTCCTCAAAAAGGCTGCTGGAGGAAAGTCTCAGTGCATCTGCTGCTGCGCTGCCCTAGGACTAAAACAAAGCCCCGAAAATCGCCGCTTGCATGAGGTTCGAGTCCCCATCAGTAGATAGCCAAGTATTCAGCAAGAAAAGGCAGACATTATAGAAAACATTCCACAATCCATGTGGGATCTAGATGCCACTTAGGAGAGGAGGTCTGAGCCTATGACAGCAGCAACAGGGAGGGCAGTCAATGTTCATGGATACAGGGTACTGACGGAAGCCAGCGTGGACAGTGAGAGGCTTGGCTATGGCTTGGGTTAGGGGGTGAGTGTCGGGTAAAGTCCAGCCCAGGAAGACAGCTGTGCGTGTAATGTGTCTTAGGCGGCAGCAGTAACACCAGGGATACCCTGGGTGCTAGACGCTCCCCCGCCCAAGGACAAGTTTCCTTTCACCTGCTTTCCTCTGCTTCTCCTTCCAGACCCGTATTCCACCTGAGGTGTAAAGGCAGACTTGCTAGGCCCCCCCTCCTCTCTACCACTCCAAGTACCAACCTTTTCTGGGTCACTGATCTCACCTGGGCGTTAGTAAAAAAATATTGTTTCTATTTTTCATGTTATATAACCCACAGTCCCTTCAATCTCCCATGAATATCCACATCTTTTTACTAATGAAAATAAATTTGACTGATAGCTCTTCTGGATACACAAAAAATGAAATCAAACTATAGACAGGGCTATGATCGCCTTGTGGATACTCAGGACAAAAGCTGTGTCAATTCGTCCTGTTCAGAGAAATCCTGCAAGACAACTGGATCTGTCCTTGTCCAAGGTCACGGAGTTTTCGCTGGCTTTGCCACTTGCAAGCTGTGTGAACTCTAAGTTTCCTTAACTATAATATAGAAAGAAAACCCACCACGCAGGATTCTGAGGATGAGAATGTAAATTCCATCGGGAAAGGGCTCTGTCTGTTTTATACATTGCTGTTCTCTCAGTGCAAAAACCAACCAGCAAAACCCACCAGCGCTCGGCACGCAGTGGGCAATGAGTAAATCCTGGTTGGCCGACCAAGGAAATGAAGTGTTAGCACCCAGTAAGCAGGCCGCGTTGGTTCCTCTCCTCAGGCCCTGAAACAGGAAGCCACACATCATGATGGCTGATCCACGCTTGCTTTGTATAAACAATCTCCCATTTGTACCTCAAGAATGAACAGCAAGTCCATCAAGCGATGTTATTTTTACATAGGTGAATACCACCACGGCTATGAGTCAAGGTGTCCAGGTAAATCAAGACAGCTAGATTTAGACCAAGGTTTCTCAACCACGGCCCTCTTGACATTGGGGGTCAGATGAGTCTTTGTTGGCGGGCTGTCCTGTGCACTGTAGGTTGTTTAGCAGAACCACTGGCTTCTACTCCCTAGATGTACCCTCTGCTCTCAGTTGTAAAAAGCAAAAATGTCTCCAGACATTGCCACATGTCCCCTGGAGGGAGAGGGACCCCCCCCTCAAGTTGAGAACCGTTGAGGGAGACACAGGCAAACTTTGCGGGTGGGGCTGGTGTGTAGAACAAACACCACACCCTCACGCGTTATCTCAATTAATCCTCATAACCCTCTGCAGTGTTACTATATCCTCATCTTACAGATGATGGGTTGAAAAGTAACTTGTCTACAGTCACATACCCTGTAAGTGGCAACATAAGGACCCAACCCTGGCTGCCTCGCTCCTGGGCCTGGGAGCTTCCCTAGCATGCTGTACTGACTGCCTCTTCCCGAAAATCCTTTTGAGGATTCTCTTGTTATCTTCTAGACAAAGAGTCAATTACCTTTCATTTTCCCTTCATGCATCGGACATCCTGAAGGCGGGGATGCAGTCTGGTGCTCTGAGGCGCTTGAGGTCCCGATTGCAGCAGCAGGGGTGGATGCAGACAAACCCATGGTAGGAACCGCAGTGTTGAATCCGAACAATCCTAAATTTACACGTGCCAAAGCAGGGGCAGATTAACGCTGATGCATGGGTTCCACTACTCCCTGCGAATTCTTAATCTGGCCGACCCTTGTTATTCCTGCTTGCCATCCTTAACGGGCACTTACATTACAGCGCAGGGTATACTTCGAGCGATAGCTTTAATATATTACTGCCTTCGGGAATAACTAGTGTGATATGTTCACCAGCCTTTGGGGAAACGTTTCTAAGGGTGTGTTGGATTCTGAGGGTGAGGTGAGGCGGTCCCTGAGAAACCACGTCACAGCAAGAAGGTTAGACCAGGGGACAGAGGGTCCTCGGTAGCGATCGGATGGGAGAGGAGAGATCCACGGTGCAGACCAGACCCCTGGCCCCGGGGCTTAAAGAGGGTCTGTGGGTCTGGTAAAATTACGGGGCAAAAAAGGGGTTTGAGGAAGGAAGGAAAGGACAGCAGAGGGCAAGGTGCAGACAGTCTTCCTCGCAAGGTTCCCCCGTGTTCCACCTCCTCCAGCCCTTGGAGTCCAGACGCCCACTGGCCTCAGCGAGCCCGCTCCCCTGCTCCCCCGCTCTCCCGTTCCCCGGATCCCCCTCACCTGACTCCCGCTCTGGGCGGCCGGCCCCGCCTGTCACTTCCAACACTGGTCCGGAGCGTCAGCGACCTGCCGCCGCCGCCGCCGCCCTCCCCTCGATCGGTCACCGCTGACGCCGCGGTCACCGCTGACGCCGCGCGCCGCGACTTCCTTTTCCGAAGGCGGGATTTCCGCGTGAGCGGGAGTCGAAGCGCCTCGAGAGGAGAAAGAGCTTCCGTCAATCACAAAGGAGCAAGCCCTGCCCCGCTCCCTCCTCCGCCTATAAGTGCAAGCGCTGCGCTCTGGTCCCGCCCCTCCTGGCCACGCGCTTTCCCTGCTGAGCCGGCGGGGTGATTTTTGCCCGAGCCAGAGATTTCCCTGCATGTCTTTCACTGTAGATGTTTTAATCGCAGAGGGGTTGCTGTGGTTTTAAAAAGTTCTGTCTTTTAAGTTGTATCTCGTCAGATTTAATTATAGTAATGACTCAAGAAACCCCAGTAGGTGTCCAGAACTTTGGCGGACCCTGGAGATCAAAAGACGAACACAACAAGATCCCCCCTCCCAAGGTCTTCTTAACTGGGGGTGTGCACTTGAAGGTCTGTATTTTTACTTAACTGTAACGGGTATTGAGTGTTTACTTTTTTCCATCAAGGATGAAGGCAACAAATCTTAGTAGTGTTAGCCATATGTGGCACTGGTAGAAATTACGGAGAAATGAAGTCCCATAATTGTTGCTTTTGTCTCAAAATACTAGTCATCACTACTTTGAAATTAAGATAATTTTATCTTGTTACTTAAAAGTGTTAATAAGAAGCACATGCCTTTCTGCATCGCTGCAGTAAATCTGTGAAGCACACTCAAGTGCCCCGTTAGGGCCGGCAGTCCATCCCCAGGGTCCCTGAGGCTTTCTCCAGGATTTGCCCTCACCCTGAGAACCGCCTCGGACAAAACCACATTCCCTCCCTGTGGCAGGTTGCAGTCTATGAGTGGTCCCTGCCAGGATACAGAAGCTCAGGCCCCTAGCCTCAAGGGGGACAACTCAGCAGGGCCATCCCAGCTTCAGAGCTGCTGAGAGAGGATCAGCTGAAGCTGCCATAGCGACTGCATAGCAATCCTCCTTTTGCCCAGTCCGTCTTCCATCACCCTATTGCAGCTGCCTACGAGAGCACACCTACGCACACATCTTTTAATAAGTTTAATTCTTACTTAGGTTTGCTAAGGCCAACAGATCCGGAAACGACTGCCATTGAAAAGACAGTTTACTATAGGCACTGATTCCAAGAAAGGGAGTACACATCACAGCACAGGACGCCACAGATGCAAGGAAGCCCTGGGATCCATCCGTAGGCAGAGGGAGGGGCAGACGGGGCAAGTCTTTATTTTGGTTTCCTGGGAAGGAACAGGTGAGCGAGGGTAAGCAGGTTTAGGGTTGGCTAACAGGAATACTGTCAGCAGGCTCTGGAGTACAGGGGCTGTCTCCAGGTGTCTCGTACCTGTCCCTGGGGCAATTAGGGCAGGCGGGTAGTGGCCCAGATTGTGAGAACCCAATAGGGGAAGTGGTTGGGAGTGTGTACTCAGCTGCTCAAGAAAAGGGAGCTGACCAGTCTCCAGCCAGGGCCTCCAACCTGGATGAAGACAGCATTTCAAATACTATATATGTTAAGTCAGTGTATATTTCCTGGGGAACCTGGCCTTTAACAGTTACAACCTGTTTTTAAAAAAATGTTGATAACTGTATTTTGATACAATTGGTTTCTTTTGTAGATTTTTGTGTTTTGTTTCATGCATGTGAAAATATTATTCTGAGAAGATAGAAAAATTCACCAGACTCCAAAGGGGCATATGACACAAAAGGGCAAAACTGTTTAGTAATGGCTGAGACAGTCATGCAATTTACACCTCAACATCTGTAGGCTAGACTGTTCTGGAGCAAACAGGAAGAAGTGGCTGTTGTGAGCTAGACATGCACATAATGGATAGAAAGGGAAGGGTAATTAACAAGAATGTTTACAGAGAAGGAACTATTAGTGCAGTAAGAAGACAGATGGGATACCTTCAACCCCAGTTTCCCTTCTCAGCAAGCAGATCTTGCTGTTGAACTGTTTCTTCTCATTTGTCAATCCATGTTCCAAGAAACATGCACAAAAACACATTTCCAAAAGTTATACAATTTTGGAAAAACTCATGGTTTAATATGTACATTATCTTGACTATGAAAATATTCATAATGACATTATACACTTTTGTTGTGCTACTTTTTCACTAGATTTTAACATTTACATTGTTTCCTCCCCTTTGTCTGTCTGTAAATTTTTATCCTTAAATTTTCTGTCAGCATCGTAAATATGCTCTCCTTGCATTCAAATATATCAACTGCTCTTTATATTTCATTTTTTCCCCCTTGAAACGTCACTCTTACATGAACACCTCACCTGTCACTATCCAATTCTAGCCCTCTTGGACATGACTTCTACCAGCTGTCTTCCTGAGCTTGTCTTTTATACTTTTCCTAGCTGTGCTGGATCTCTGGTTCTTGCGTGCCATGTATTCTTCTTTGCTGTTTTGGGAGCATATCCGTCCTGGAGGTTTTAAGAACCAGACAATGTCTGTGGTGTACCCTCCCACCGGAAGGATAGTTTGGATGTATAAGTCTAGGTTTAGAAATGTTTCTCTTGGAATTGTTAAGTGGTTGCTTCATTGTCTTCTGGTTTCCTTTGTTGATGTTGAGAAGTCAAATGTCATTTCTTTTTTCCCCCTCTCTCAATAGTTTAAACATCTTTTTCTTCCAGTGGCCTAAAAAGGTGTCCCTTGACATAGAACCTATTTGCTTTCATTGGCTTGGCACTTGATGGGACCATTCGTTCCGGAAACCTATATGCTTGCCGTTGGGACATGTTCTTGTAGTACTGCTTTTTTTGGTAATGTGCTTCCCTCTCCATTTCTTCATTCACTCTTTCTGGCAGCCGATATCACGCTTGTGCTGGGTTCCTAGACTGACACTAATGATCTTACATTTTTGTCTTATTTTCCATCACTTTTTCATTTTGTTTTATTTTTTAGGAATTTTTAAAACCCTCAATGATTTTATTCGGTTTATGTTTGCTATCATGTTTGGAATTTCCAAAACATGTGCATGTGTATTTGTCTGTATGTGAGCACAGCATGTGTACTTGCGAGTGTGTGTATGTGTGTGAGCGTATATGTGGGCGTGTACATGGCCATGCACGCAGCAGTGATGTGGGTTTTCCGCCCCGTGGTAATGAGATGAGCTGCTGCTCTCCCACCCAAAGGTTTAGCAGAGGAAAAATTGAAGCTCTTTGGAGTTGCAAATTGAATTTATGACTGGTCCTAGTAAAATGAATCTCCTTTCCAAACCTGCAGTTGCTTATGTTTGGAAAGTGGTACTTTTATATTTCTCAGAGCTCCCAGAATTCCCTGTCTCTTGTGCAATTCTCCTTCATTCCCACAAGTCCCTGTTTCTCCTATAATTCCTCATCTCTCGCACAGTTCTCCATTTTCTCTCACAATTCTCTGTTGTCTCATGGTAATCTCTTTCACAGTTCCCCAGTTTCTACCACATTTCTCTGTTCTTCCCCACAATTCTTCCCCCCACCATAATGCTCTGGTTCTCTAATAATTCCTTGTCTTTCTCACAATTCTTCATTCTCTCCAACACCCCGTTATCTCGCACACATATTTTCTCCCATAGTACCCTTTTGTTTCACAATTTTTTATTCTCTCACAATTTTGTTCCCCCTCATTGTGTTCTCTTCCACAGTTCTGTTTTCTACCACAATTATCTATCTCCCACAATTATGTTCTCTCCAACAATTGTCCATCTCTCCCACAATTCTTGGTTCTCTCCCATAATTCTCTTTTCTCACCCACAGTTCTACATCTCTACCACAATTCCCAATTTTTATTCACACAAGTCTCCCTCCCTCCCACAATTCTTCACTCTCTCCCATAATTCCCATTCTATCCCATAATGTCATTCTCTCCCACTGCTCTGCTTCTCTTATAATTCTGCATTCTCTCCCATAACCCCATTCTCTCTCTTATAATTCTCTGCTTCTCCCATAATTCCCCGTTCTCTCCTACTATCCTGTTTTCTCCCATAAGTCTCTGCTTCTCCCACAATTCTCCATTCTTTCCCATAATCCCATTCTCTGCCACAATTCTATGCTCCCACAATTCTCTGCTTCTCCCACAATTCCCTGTTCTCTCCCATAATTCCCTGATTCTTCCATAGTTGCCTATTTTGTCCCACAATTCTACTTTTCCTATAATCCCACTATCTCCCATAATTCTCCATTTTGTTCCATAATGCCATTCCTGCTCCCATACTTCTCTCTTTCTCCCACAACTTTTTGCTTCTCCTACAATCCTGCATTCTCTCCCATAATCCCATTCTCCTCCATAGTTCTCAGCATCTCCCACAATTCTTCATTATCTCTCTTAATTCTCTGCTTCTCCCATAATCCCATTCTCCACATAGTTCTCTGCTTTTCCCACAGTTCTCCATTTTCTCCCATAATTTGCATTCTCTCTTGTAGTTTCCTGCTTCTCCCTTGTATCTCCTTTTCTGCCACAATTTTGTTCTCTCCTATAGTTCACTGATCTCTCCCATAATTCCTTCCCTCAGTTCTCCATTTCTCCCACAATTTCATATTCTCTTCCACAATTCTCTGTTTTCTCCTATAATTCCCAGTCTCTCCCACAATTCTCTGTTCTCTCCCAAAATTCAGTTTTCTTTCACAATTGTCTCTCCCACAGTTCCCTGTCCTCTTCAACAATTCTCTCCCCCCCCACATTTTCCTGTTTTCTCCCTCATTTCTCCACCTTTCCTATAACTCCGTATCATCTCCCACAGTTCTCTGTATTTACCACAATTCTGTTCTCTTCCACAATACTCCATCTCCCTCAGAACTCCGGTGGTTATTGGATTTGCCTTTCACCTTTGAAAGTATAAACAATAGTCAAGGACCTTCCAATGTGATTTTGTTTTGGATAGAGCAGAACACAGTAGGCTATAGTTATTTGAAATTGCCACCCTACTGTATAAAGAGAAAACTAGGATAGAGAAGGTAAGAAGGCAACGAGTAAAAGGCAGCTGATTTTGAGAAGTCCGTCGGTGTGGGGGC